TACAACTGAATATTACTCATCAATAACTTAATCAATTAAATTATTATAAATCATTAACCAAACCCTAATGAACAAACTTAATGAATAAAAAATATCTACAAATCATCAGATTTTTAAAATTATAGGCCAGATTGAAATGTAAAAGGGTTAAAATGTCGAAATGTAAAGTGCCCATAATATCAATATTGTGCATGATACATTATAGCAGAGGATCCCAAACTTTTCAGCCTGCAACCCCCAAACTTACAATGCCAGAGACTCACGACTCCCAATATTTTCTGACGTGGTCATAAATATTTAAACCTTGCACACACAACGGTGCACACATCAGTAATTCATCAGGCCCAAGTCTTTCCATCATTTATTTTTGTTCAGTTGTGGCCTGTATTTATTTTTAATGTACATGAGTGCCGTAAAGGTGTCAGAAACGTTAACCTGCTGCCATAAAATCATCAAATTAAAGCTGTGTCTTTAATATAACATAATCAGTCGCAAAAAATTCAAAAGGCTAATGGCTTTTCATTTTGGATGTTGTTTCCCGACCCCCACATTTGAACCACTGCATTATAGTGAAATATTGAGTTATTGAAAATTAGCACATGTCTAGTGTGTATTTAATGCATGCAGTAGGAGGACAGTTAAGTGGCAATCATACATCACCTAAAAATCCCACCTCCTTTAGCACACAGTCTCAGTGCAGGCAGATGTTTAAGGGGATCCATAACTCACCAAGACCTATCAGCATAATTTATCCAGAACCTGCCTACTCATGTAAAAGGCACTTCTACACTTTGACAAGAAACACTTTATTACTCACACCTTGCTAGTACCGGCTTGGACTCACTTTTGCCTTAATATCTTCATGCCATAGATTAAAAAGGGTTTTGAAACTTGAGGATTCCCACACTGAGCCAAATGTCAAGTTTTCTGACATTTACCTGACTTTTACTGACTAAAAAAGCAGTTTCCTTGGCCAATTCAGCTTATTTTTACCTAAAAGCAACACGGACAATGTAACATAATGTGTAAAGGCTTCCATTAATTTTTAGCCAGACAAAACAGCTTAGTATTGGGGTGATTTTTTTACTTTTTTTATTATTATTTTTTTGAATGTATTGTCATAAACATTTTAACAAACTAATTAGAAGTCTAACACAATTGTGGAAGAGATTACTTAAAAAATCATGTGAATAATTAATAGCAAAAGCAACCAGTTGTTTTGTTGAGCACTATAGCAGAGACAAGACAATGTTATATTTTAGGTAGGTATATGGTCTGATGATTGCAGTTGACTTAAGTGTTTGCTGGTCATCAAGTAGTCACTAAAAATATACACTGCAGCAATAGACAAAATGTGAAACGACACAATAATAAATAAAAACAATTAAAATAAATAAATTAAAAGCACAGTATAGGAAAATTACTGCTGCTGGTTATAAAGAAACTTAGTCAGCAACAATATTCAGGGAAACTACAAATTTTAAACAATGTTCATTTGGCACTAGTGTGCACAAAGTGTGCTAAGAAAGAAAGCTGCTTTTTGAGAGAGGCCTCCCTAGAAAATGATGTAAAAATATTGTGTTTATCATTCTGACAAATATAAGCAGAAATAATTGGCCATGTCCAATTGATTAAATGCATTGTTCGATGATTGTCTTAAATGTAGAAAATGTAAAAAGTATTACAGTAAAGTCCTATTATCTGGACAATATCCATCATGTTTTGGACTTCTGCCTTTACATCCCCATGAAAGTTATTGACATCCCAATCTTAATCTGTATTGCTTAACATGGAGTTGATCTCTTGGCAGCTGTACCTTGCAGGCAAAGGATGTCAACATGACATCATATTGACATTGTACCCCAACGTACACTTTCAAACAAAATCTAAAATCAATCAAATATCAGTGTAATTTAAGGTCGTCATTGGACGTCAAAATAACGTTGTCCTTAGATGCTGGCCAGACATTGAATTTTTGTCACCTGACGTCATGATCTAAAGCTAACCTAATATTGACATCTTCTGATGTTGTATGCCTGCTAGGATAACATCTTAAACTCTTCAGGGAAGACATTTTTAGGATTTGCAAATTCAAAAATGTAATTATCAAATTAAATTTGATTTCTTTATTAAATTGCTAAAAAACTTTAATTAATTCTTAAAGTAAGACCATTTCTGTTCATTGCTGTCGGGCTAATATCGCTGCTGGTTTACACCAAATTGTTTTTTTAAGTGAAAAAGCTGTTGAGATTGTAACACTGTTTTACTATAAATGCCACATTATAAAATTAGCCTTCTTTAAAAAGTGCTTATGCAATTATTTCATTTATTTACCATTATTTTTAATGTTTGTGTGAACTCATGCATATACAGATTTACGATATAGATTTTCATTTTTTAGTTCTTCGTGTCATCTTGTGGCCTTTTAATTTACATCTTTTATATGACAAGAATATTTGACATCTTCAAAAGTAATGTACAAAAGCAGTTCCAGCAGGATAATATACAGTATTACCATTATACAAGTTATTAACTTTAAAATGTTCAATTCAATTCCTGAAACATCCCATTTTTACATGTATGCGAACCATGCCTTCTGGTTATTTACAGTAAATGTATCTTGCAGCAAATGGTCTCTTGTGGTCTTGCTCTGACAATTTTCCAGTAAAGTCATTCCGATTATTTTCCTGATATTTTCTGGTATCACTGTGTGAAAGGGGCTTATGAGTTATATCCCTTCAGAAACTAGTGGAACCCCACTGATACTTCCTTGGAAAGTTCACACAGAGCTTCCTAATATGGAAAGACAAGTGTAAGAATTTGCTTAAGGGTTTAAAATGTCAGTTGTGATGCTGTTAGTTTCAAGACCTACCATCACAACCATATACTGTACATTTACAGCTGAAGGCAAAAAACTGTTTGCCCTCCTGTAAAGTTTACATTATTTTTTAAGTGCTGTTTAATAGAGAGAAATTGTTGTTGTTGCCTTCGTTTTAATTTTTTTTGTTCAACATAATAGTTTTCTTATACCTCATTTCTCATGTCTTTGCCATGATGAGAGTACATAATATTTTACTTCTTATTTTATAACATACAGTCATTGGCCACTTTATTAAGTACATGTTACTAGTACCAGGTTGGACCCACTTTTGCTCTTAAAACTGCCTTAATCCTTCGTGGCATAGATTCAACAAGGTACTGGAAATATTCCTCAGAGATTTTGGTCCATATTGGCATAATAGCATCACAGTTGCTGCAGATTTGTTGGCTGCACATCCATGATGTGAAACTCCTGTTCTACCACATCTCAAAGCTGCTATATTGGATTGAGATCTGGTGACTGTGGAGGCCATTTGAGTACAGTGAACTCATTGTCATGTTCAAGAAACCAGTCTGAGATGATTCACGCTTTATGATAAGGTGCGTTATCCTGCTGAATAAAGCCATCAGAAGATGGGTACACTGGTCATAAAGGGATGGACAAGGTAAACAACAATACTCTGTAGACTGTGGTGTGGACATGATGCTCAATTGGTAATAAGCCACCACCACCACCACCCTGAACTGTTCATACAAGGCAGGATGGATCTATGCTTTCATGTTGTTGATGCCAAATTCTGACCTTGCCATTCAAATGCCGCAGCAGAAATCAAGACTCATCAAACCAGGAAATGTTTTTACCATTGTCTGTTGTCCAATTTTGGTGAGCCTGTGTGAATTGTGGGCTCAGTTTCCTGTTTTTAGCTGACAGAAGTGGCACCCAGTGTGGTCTTCTGCTGCTGTAGCCCATCTGCCTTAAGGTTGGACGTGGACCTTGGTTGTAATAAGTGGTTATTTGAGTTACTGTTTCCTTTCAGCTCAAACTAGTCTAGCCATTCACCTCAGACCTCTGGCATCAACAAGGCATTTGCGCCCACAGAACTGACGCTCACTGAATATTTTCTCTTTTTCGGACAATTCTCTGTAATCCCTAAAGATGGTTGCGCATGAAAATCCCAGTAGATCAGCAGTTTCTGAAATACTCAGACCAACAACCATGCCATGTTTAAAGTCACTTCAACCTTTCTTCCCCATTCTAATGCTCGGTTTGAACTGCAGCAGATTGTCTTGACCATGTCTGAATGCCTAAGCGCATTGACTTGCTGCCTTGTGATTGGCTGATTAGAAATTTGCGTTAATGAGCAGTTGGACAGGTGTACCTAATAAAGTGGCCGGTGAGTCTACTAGTTTTCAGCAAGTACATTTAAAGTCAGTTTAAAGGCTTTTGATTAATTAAGTTAACTAGGCAAATTAAGCACAATAGTGGTTTGTTCTGTAGCCAACTGAAGAAAAAAAATCTAAACCTAATAGATAAACTGTTAAGGAAAAAAATACATTTAATCCTGCCAAACTCAAAGATATAAGAAATATATTTTTTTGGAAGAACAAAATATTATAGAAAATATTGTGGAAAACATTGCTTTGTTAAACATCACTAGTAAAATAACATTAACATAAGTGCTAATAGTTTTGCCTTCAACTGTATATCAACATATAAGAGAAAAATGGTACATTGTGACACAAGAAAATACTATTTAATGCAGTACTTTTGTCAAACTGGCTACATTACTAGAATAGAATAGGAAATGGATTTGTATACTTATTTCTGCTAAAAAGCAGAGTTCACTCAGATTTACCATGTCTTCTCTAATTTTCATTAATGGCCTAGAGTGTGCAAGAAAGCAAGAGTTTGAGCGATTATTCTCTTACGGTAGCTTTGTACTCTAGCTTACACTACACAAAAAAGTCAAAAGATCCTAATAAAAGAGGTATTTGTTGAGTGACTGAAACTTTCAACACTTTCTACCACACCTTGTTTGACTTGGCACAAATGAGAAATCCGTACATGTCTCAAAGGAGCTTTAAAGTGCAAGAGAAGCATTTGTTTTGTACATTTGTCATGAGGCGAGTTGGTATCTGTCACGTGTGTTCATGATGTGTGTGTTTTTTTTTTTGGACAGTAGTGTCAGAGGCACCCACATCCAAGCCGTACCAGGGAGTGAGAGTGAAAGACCCGGTGAAGGAGCTGTTGCGAAGAAAAAGAGGAAATGCTGCCAGATCCACAGCAACAGTAGGAACACATGTGAACCCACACACACTCCAAAAAACACATCATTGATATCAGAAAATAGACCATTAACTGTATCTCACTCATTATTTATTCAAATCTTAGCCTTTTTTATTTTTCAGAATTTCCGTATGTAATGAATTCATTGCATATACTGTCAAAATATCTGCAATTAGCAGATTTTTGTATTTTGTGATTTTTATTTCTGCATTTGGGTGTTTATTGTTTATTTTTCCCCATTTATTCAAGCTTTTGGGTTGCATTATAGGACTTTGATATTTTTTTCAAAACATTTAGCACTGAAAATCTTTAATAGTGATTTTTATTAACACTTTTAATAGTTTAAAGTGGTTTATTGTCTAGGTTGTTTTTGTATATCATCATACAAAAAGTTTGTAATAAACTGCCAGTATATTTTCTGTCATTTCTTTTCTAATTCAATTTATCTTTGCTTCTACAGCACTTTTAAAATGTAGAATGTGTCAAAGCAGCTTAACATAGAAGTTCCAATAAATTGAAACTGGATTATTCCAGTTTAGTTCAGTGTGGTTTAAATTTCACTGCTAAAAGTCCAAACACTAAAGAGCAAATCCAGTGATGCACAACTCCACAAGTCCAAAACCAAACAAGCCAGAGGCGACAGTGGCGAGGAACAAACTTCACTTTTCGAACTATTTACAGACGTATTTCTCTATATATTATTTTTTTATACAATATATTATTTCAAACTACTCAAATAAACGTCACTTTGTTAAACTGTAGAGTTAAATTTTAACACTAAAAGTCAACAGAGCAGAGATCAAGATACCATAATGCAATTCACAAATGTAAATAAACGGAAAGCACTTGTAAATCACTAAATATGGAAACAGATATTTTTTACAGTATAGGTGGTATATCCAAATGTGAGGCTACTTATTAAAGAAAGCATGGGTTTTAATCTTTATATTATGTAGTGTCTCAGTTTGGATTTGCAACATTTTGTGACATGTTTTCTGGAGGCCAAATTTTGGTCTAAAAGTGGCAATAAGACCATCACAAAAGTTTCAATGGTTTCCACTACAAATACAATTAAAAACCATTAGAAAGCATCCAATTCTAACCATCAAAACCTTTATATTTACCTTTATATATGTTTTGGGACATTCCATTGGGATTTATTGGTTTAACATGCCAAAAACCCAACATGAACATAAAATTTTCCATTAAAACTCATACAATTTTCATTGTAAACATTAAAATCAGTGCAAATGATATTATAGCTTCTGTCATATTTTCAGCAGGGAGAGAACTTGAGTGAAAGTATAGATACTCTAATAAAACATTACTCCTGCAAAAGTTCTACCGCAATTAATAATAAGTCAAGTGTGCGACCAAATGAAAAAGAAAAAATATTTTTATTAGATCATATTCTGTATATAAAAAGTAGAAAAACAATATATGTGTATATGTGTGCCGACAAATATATACACAATGTAAAAACTTCATAGAAGAAACATCCAGGCATATTAAGATTTATATCCATTAGAGTTCGTTTTGCCCATGAGTCCATGTCTGAGTCATTTAATTTAATGTATCTACTGATACCGGAAACCGATACGATACTTCTATAATACACATTATATAATATATTATATAATTATTATTGTTTTTTTAATTTCAAAAAATAAATAAAACTTTTGGACTTTAGGGCAACAGAAAATATAAAAATAATAATAATAATACAAAAACAAATAGCTCCTCAATCTATACCCAGTAGGCAATCCCAAGTTTACATGTCTTACAGTTTGCTATGGAAATGTTGCCATCATCAACTTGGACATCCCTAATTTCTATTTTGTGCTCCAGCAATAAGGAGGATGCACAGACATTAAATTGTATTAACATTAAAATGATAGTTTTCAGTCCTGACCCATTTCAATGGTTTCAGACACTTGATTGCTGTTTTACAATTCACAGACTAAATATGATTTGCACTTACAACAAATAACAAGTCTTACGGCTTATTAAGTATAACTGCATTTTTCGAATCAGTTAATAATTAACTGGAGATCAACTTTGATCTTTTTAATTGATAAATCGTTTACTTGAAATTTGTTTTATAAACGGATCATTGCAATCAGATCAGTCCAACATACAAAAGAATTGTTCCGAGTGGTTTGTAAAGCATTTTCTCCACTACAAAATAATAATTTACTTTGCTTCATGTATAAAATGCAATGAGTTTGGATTTAATTTCTTAATTCCTCTTAACTTGGATTTCATTTTTTTTAATTAAAAAATAAAACATTTTTGAACACTAGAAGATCTTTATTTTTTGAGGTATGCTATAAAATATTTCAGATTCTCATTTAACACGCTTCCTTAATTAATTTTTACAATAAAACCAAAATCAAGTGTAGTGTAAACTATGATTTAAAACAATCATTGTTTAAAACAGTCAAAATATGGTCAACCAGTTGGTAGAGCAGGCACTAAAGGGATAATGAAGAAAAAATTTGTCTGAGGAGTGGTCATGAGCAATGGTGTCAGGAATCAAGAGTAATTTTCCATGCTTTTGTTTGACACTTATCTAATTTAATGCTTTAAAAACTGCTATTAGCTCAAAACCGACTTTTAGACACCAGCGAATTATATACTGAGAATAATCTGTGATCAGTTATGAACTATAACTTCCAAGCAATTGAATGATCAAAATAATTACTAGCACCATAGTTTTTTTTGACTCAACCCTCTCTTCAAAATATTTCTTTAATTTTTAAATATATTGTCTGGGTTTGGGTTTATTAGTCACTAGTTTATTAGTCCAGTCAAGTTCGCAATTTTTGATGTTTTATAACATGCTTCTTAAAGCCCATACTTTTGCTCATCCAACATTTCATTTACATTTTTACAGTAAATCCACAATACCTGCTTAATTATGTGTAATAAATGGGTCTAAAAATTAGATTGATGTCACTTAATTGCATTTGTTACAAGAGGTGTGGACTCAAGTTAGTGACTTGCGATTTGACTCGGACCTGTTTTGAAGTCCCAAATTTGAGAAGATTTGGAACTTGCCTGGAGACTTGTCTAACTTGACTAGGGACTAGACTTGAATTGTAAAGATTTAAGATTTTCTTGTGACTTGCAGAATTATTACTTTTTTTACAATGACAAACACAATTCAGGTCACAGCTCTCCAAACACTGACTGTATAACAGACTCCAAGAGAACCCATTACAAAACTTACAATAGGATTGCGAAAGACTGCAAAATCAACGTCAGATTCAATTTTACAAGGCATTACTAAATGCAGAAAGGCAGGCTCTCCAAACTCCAAGGGGATTTTGGCCTTATATAATCCAGGTGTTTTTCCATGACAGTTAAACTATTCCCCCACACAGCCAGAGGGGTTGGGCATATAGGGCCTATGCAAATCCATTTGTTGATCTGCCAAGAGGCTTGCCTACCAACCTTCTATTTTTTTCTTGACAACACATTGAAAGCATAAACATACTCAATGGCCTCTTTCTCACATTAAACTCTCATAGAAAAAGATGATGTGAACTCTGTTAAATGTCTTTACCAGACTCTTTTGTCATTTTCCATCGTAAGGATGCTCTCTAGGCTGATCAGTTATTGCTTCTCCAATGGACCTCCACCATGAACAAGAGCTGGACATGCTCTTATCTTATCTGTTACTTCAGGGCGAGCTATTATCTGTAAAGCAGCCCCTCCATGTGCTTTCTGCCATTTCTTTCATCACCTCTCACTGTAAGGAGATGAGGGTTTTAAAGCAGATCTGCCATTGTTAAGCTGGGGGCCGCAGTAAGAAATGCCTTGATCCAATCTACCAGGTGAAGGTCTTAGACGGAAGAGACAGAAGTCCCAATAATCAGTTTAAGTGGAGTTTAAGTGGAACCACTTGCCCTGACATGTACATAATTTTGCAAAGGGATCGCATTGTGCTACCTTAATTGTTTGGGATTTGTAGTGCAAAAATGATAGGGTAATGTACCGGCAGTTGGTCATTATTATTGGTAAATAAATCCCCAGAGCACAATTGTCTTATGCTGCAAGGGTATATTTGAGTATGAATAGCTAAAAATAGTTATATTCCATAAGTCTAAATGATTGATTTTAATTTTAGGCCAAGTAGAATATAAGAAAAGATGATCTTCCTTAAAGAAATTTGTCATGACTGTGAATATATCAATAGTTTTGCTGAAATATGTATGGCTGGACGACTTTCAATTTTTGAACCCTCAGATTAAATAGTTGTATCTCTGCCAATTATAATCCTTTCACAAAAATCCATAAATCAATGGAAAGTTTATTTATTCAACTTTCAGATTCCCAATATTAACACTTTAAAGTGGGTTTGTGATCCATGGTCACAAATGAACTTACTGGATACAGGTTGACCCATTTATTAGATGTCAGATTACAAGAAATACATGCATACTTGGACACAAAATGACTGATTTGCATCTAAATTTGTTCTGTGTTGAACGAAGGCTAAGGCTTTGTTGTTTCTGGACAATGCTCACTGAGATCTCAAACCCGATTGTAAACAAGGCTTGACATTCTCCTGAGGTTGTCTTTAGTAACTGCAGCCTGAGGGTAGAATACTTGTAATATTTGTCTATGTAAAGTATCAAGAAGTTAATGTGTAATAAAATATATATCAAACAAATGACACAAACACTTTAGATTTTAAACACTGCTTTGGATTTCACTTATAACGCATGTGTCGCATATATCAACTTTCATTCTTAGAGGACAATGAAATATGGTTAAGTAATTTAATTTGCTTGTGACAAATAAGCTCATCTGTAACATCAAGGCCATTTTGGTGGGTGGAGGATAAAGATGATTCCAAGAGCCCACACGCAGGCGGCTGAGCAGAACCTTGATTTTTTTGGTGAATGATTTTGGTATATAAATTGCCTCTTTGCATGCTAATCTAAAATGTAAGAACCCTTCTGTGCCAAGAGTGAGTGTTTATCCCCTTAAGACATTTGCAGGTTGCTCAGAAATGCAGCACTTTACAGACCACTTCTGAACTTTGTTCATCATTAAGAGAGAGAGAGCAATTCTCAAGAGGTGAGATAAGCCAACATCAGGGTTCCCAAAAAAGATATATGGCCATCCAATGACATGTAAAAATATACATTTTCATTTGTTTGTTGTCTATAAAATTTGGTTTCAAAAATTTTATTGTAGGTTGTAATCTTAAGTTTAAGGTGTTTTATTATTATTATTATTATTATTATTATTATTATTATTATTATTATTATTATTATTATTATTATTATTATTATTTTAGAATGTTTCATTTTCAAAGTGGATTGTGAAGTGTTTGAAAGGAATAGGGCATAGTGGTGAAAACTCAAACTCATAGTGATAAAACACAATCAGTCAGTGCTTCTGACAGCTCTAGAGGTGTAGTTCCAACCACAGAAGATTGAGATGCAGCTTGCAAATGCTCTTTGGTTGATGGATTAGGGAAATGCAGAATCGCTGAACTATGTTTACAATGATGGAACTGGCAGTGTTAGTTGACTCATAACAGTTTTGGGAAATGAACCCCTGAAAGATAGCTAACGTTAGTCGCCCAATTAGTCAAAAATGCATATTTTTTTTAGTCCATGATTTGTCTTATGATTCTTTCAAGAGTTCACACTTAGCTGATGATTGATAATCAAGCTTGTTTGGCGTGTTGTGCCGGGAGCGAGCCCTGAGCTTACAGGATCCTTGAGCCCTGGGCTACCTCCTGTTGCAGGGCGAGAGGGGAGTTTGAGCTCAGTTAGATCTCAATGACTCCCCCTCCTGCTTATTGTAGCTAAGTGTCAAATGTGGATGCTAAGAAGGTGTACTCAAAGCTTGGCTAAAAATATTTTGGATTAATTGTTTTGGGTGCTTGTTTTTGTACTTGAGGAGGAAACCGGAGGACCCGGGGAAAACCCACGTGAGCACGGGGAGAATGAGCAAAACTCAGAAAAGTCGCCTGGTTTGGAAGGGAATTAAATCAGGGGCATTCTTGCTGTGAGGCAACAGCGCTAATCACTAGCCACCAAGCCTGTTTGAAAGGAGGGAAAGTATTGGGTTGATAGGGAGAGGGGTTTCTTCAAAACAAAGATATTGAGATGAGAAAAGTCTTGTTATTTATAATGAGTTAAGGATCGTCTGATAGGATCATTAGTCATGAGCTAAAGTTGGAACAGCTGTAAACAATTATAAACATGTGATCCTCTCGAAATTTGTTTATACATAAACTTCACAAAGTAAAAAAATATATATATATTAATTCTCTCAGTTATTCACCCTGATGTTTGTCTGCTGGCTGAAAGTTTTAACAATCAAATTAAAATATGAAAATGATAAAGTTTCACTTATTGCACAACTCAGTCCTTTCAGCACAAACTCTCTGAACTGATGATCAATTCCAACAGCAATGTTGAACTGACTGACCTTGAACTTTGTGCATTTGTCTTTTGTGGTTGACAAGCTATTTTTGGGGGAACTTGAATGAGTCAAAATCACATAATCAATAATATTGTTGAAATCACAAATCACAAGTTTGCAATGAAAAACTTTTAACTGGCAACCCAACTTTACTATTGTCACTGCCTTTGCAGGGCCAACCCTTAGTTAAATCCCCACCTACGATTCAGGTATGGAAACCTTGCAAACTCCACACAGAAACACCAACTGACCCAGCCGAGGCTCGAACCAGCGACATTCTTGCTGTGAGGTGACAGCACTACCTACTGCGCCACTGCGTCACCATTTTAAACTTTTATTTAATCTTTACAATGCAAATTCAATTAGGTCCACTTTATTTGGTAACCAAGCAAAAAATGTTGTAAAGCAAGTCTCTTATATAATATATCTACTAAAAGACAGAAAATATTACTTTACAAACTTTATTGTAAATAATATGAATATTTTCATATTAGTCAGTAATATAAGAAAAAAATATTTAAAAACTGAATAAATATAAGTTTACACACATTTCTTCAAGTAAATTAAACAGAATCAATGATGTGCTAAAAATCTGCCGAAATCTGTGGAATTCTGCATCCACAGATCCTGTGTGGGTCTACTGATGACTTACAAAACAGTATATCACACACAAAACATGCCGTTTTTGTTCACAAACAACCAAGCAGAGGCTGGGCAACCCTACAAAACCTTAATTCATTTAAAATGATCAGAAATCACACAGCTAATAAATCATATCAAATAGCTCAGCTCTGTGCAAAGAAAACCAAGCATCTAGTGTCCTTGTAATGCAGTATCACACACTGGGGGAACAACAAAACAAAAACAAAATTAAAGAAAGAAAAGGAGGTGAAAGAAAAAAACAATTAGTCGACCCCAAAGGTCTTTCCCATCCTTTTAACCAGATTACCAGCTCAATGTGTGGATCAGCTCAAGTGTCACCCAAATCCACTGCTTCAAACAAATCGTCCACCCACACCTATAATTTTCTCTGAAATATATCCACAGCTGATCGCCACATGAATTCACTTTATTATATTTATATTATATTTATATAATTTATATTAAAAATAAAAACAAAACATGTTCATGTTCATATTTTAAAGAAATTAATATTTGCATATTTTAATCATTGTTCTGATAATTGATGACTGATCTGCACATGACCATAATGGGTGAGGCAGTGGCGCAGTAGGTAGTGCTGTTGCCTCACAGCAAGAAGGTCGCTGGGTTGCTGGTTCGAACCTTGGCTCAGTTGGCATTTCTGTGTGGAGTTTGCATGTTCTCCATGCCTTTGCGTGGGTTTCCATTTAGCTGATAATAAATAAAGCATAATTTGCATGCTGTCCTGGTAGAGAGCCCTGAGCGTGTAGCATCCTCGAGCCCAGGGCTCCCTCCCGTTAGAGAGGGGAGTTCGAGCTCAGGTAGGTCTTGAGAACTCCCCTGCTTGTCGCTGTGTAAGGTGTAAACTAAGGTTGTCCTGGGTGATAATTTGGTTTAGTCGATTGCTATGGTGTATGTTTTTGGACGGTGGGAGGAAACCGGGTAACCCAGGGGAAACCCACACGAACATGGGGAGAACATGGAAACTCCGCACATAAACACCAACTGACCTGATAGGAGGTTGGACCAGTGGTGTTCTTGGTGTGAGGCAACAGTGCTAGCCACTTGGCCACCGTGTTGCCCTATCGAAAAAGAAAGGGGTGGGAAGTAAGGGTAGAAGGGGGAAAAGCTTTGAGACGAAGATAACTGGAGTGAAAAACTCTGGTTATTTATAATGCTTCTGTATTCATCTAATAGGGCGGATTACAGAGCTAATGAGGTGCCAGCCATGTTGATCATAAGCATGTGCTCTTCTCGAAATTAGTTTATAAATAAACCACACTTATTTTAATTTCCACTGTCAGAAAAATAGCTAATTTTCCTGTACCATTTTTGGGACCCTTTCACAAGGCTACCTAGCACAAAATTATGGTATCAAAAGGGTGAAACTAGAATCCCTGCTGAATGCTACTGTATGATTTACAGAGAATCATCATTTGAGCATGCTGCTATCCATTGGAAGATGAAGAAGCACCACTTTTTTAAAACAGCTGAAACATAACACCAAAATGAGCTTAATACAGTTTGTGATGCCGCACAACAATGAACCATAAACCAACAGAATCTGCTGTATGTCCTCTATTATGTCTAAACAGAAAGTGTGTGTATATAAAAGAGTTTGAGGGTGTTTTCCAGTTCTTGGTTCACAACTCTTAAGGCATATGGCCAAGTAATTGGTGGTTTATTTCACTGTGGCGATTTCGCAAAAGGAAAGTGGGTGTAATCCAAATAACTAGCCTGTCACAAAATGTCTCTTAATGCAATCTTCTCCCAAAGCACAAATAACTATAATGATAGACAAAATGAATGTGCGTTGTTCGTGTGTTAAACATTCGGTTCACTGAATCTGTCTTCATTTCCATTCTAGGTCATGGTTCCCAGCAACACTTTGCAGTCCTGCACACTTGCTGGTAAGTAGCATACAATTTTTTTCTCTCTCTTTGATCAACACAACATATTTTCCATGCTCTCATTCCTCTCTAATAGGGACTTCCACATTTGCAGAAGTCCCCCAGAGTGGTCTTAATGATTCGGTAGTGGACGTCAGCGGACTCTGCACAGGCTGGATTGCCCAGACCACCAGCACAACTGCTCTCCAGCCTTTGAGCCACTGGACTCCACCAGACTGTCAACACCACGACCCTGCCATTCCATCCCACGCTGACATGTATGTCCAGCCGATCTGTCCTGGTTACACTGTGGTGGGTTCTTCCCCCATGCTGACGTTTGCACACGCACCTCTCTTCACCAACCTTGCGGTGAGCCAAAGACTGACACCAAGCCACAACTTCTGTTTCATTGCCTGAAGATGTTTACTAGACACTTCTCTTGTTCCCTATTAGACGGTGAGCACTTCCAGCTCAGTCCTGCCGCAGGTGGAGGTCCCGGACTCCTCCTTGACCTACATTCCTTGGGCTCAGCCTTTATCCACCATCCCTGGCCCTGTCATGCAGGCCTCTTCAGCTCTGTCAGCCCCTCAGCTCTTTCCAGTGCCCCTGACCTTGCCAGTCCTCTCGCCAGAACCTGAACCTCCACAGGTGGAGCCTCAGCAGGCCCCTGAGGGCACGCTGGCCCTTGAGAAACTGTTGGAAGACAATGAGGTCCACAAAGAAAGCTATATCTGCAATTCCTCGCTGTTTGCTGAGGACATTTAGCATATGTGTACATTAGCACTCTTTTCACGCAGCTTCTAATGACCATTGTAAAATTTCAGACAACAGAGTTGTTTAAATAACCCTTTTTCAATTAAAAAAAGATCATTTTATTTGAGGGCCTGAAAATGCAAGTGAAGTTTATTTATAAACTAATTTCGAAAGGATCCCATGATTATGATTGACCACAGCTGGTCCTGCATTAGCTAATGCATGATTCACCAATCAGATGATTCCTATCTCACTATAAATAACTAGAGTTTCTTAGCTCAGTTTTCTTTGTCTTGAGGAATTCCCCCCTTGCACCCCCACCCCTCCTCCCTTTTCCTTGATAATAATAATAATATATTTTATTTGTAATGCACTTTTATTAGACTCAAAATGATACAAGGCAAAATACTAACAATACAAGGCAAAATATCAACAATAGCAGAAACACCACAACCATAAAAAGATGCAATAAAGCAATAAGAATATGAACCATCGGATATAAAAAAGTTAACAAAAAGGTTATCCTAGAGTAGCACGGTGGCCCACTGGTTAGCACTGTTGCCTCACAGCAAGAATGTCACTTTTTTGCTTTTCCTGAACACTTCCGGGATGTACAAGTGGCTCAAACTCGCTCATTTTGAGGCAGGAACTGGCGGATGTGCAACAACTTTAACTATGAGGTAAACACAAAACAAAACTTTCTATCCGGAGCTCCTTCACGGGACTCCACACTTGTAAACAATCGCTTGCGCCATTTGCGCGGCTCTCGGTCCCGCCCAGACTCGTCAGCACTACCAAGCCGACCAATCACAGAGCTTACGCTACGCGTCGTTGCGACGTGTAGTTACATTTTTTGAGAGGTGCACGTCAGTGACGGCGATGGCCACGGCGAAGGGCTATGCGTCAGCGCCGTAGCATACGTCGACGTTTGACGCAGAAGTATAAATCAGCCTTAAGTGTGAACTCTTGAAACATTATTCATGCGCAGAAATCATGCGCATGCATCATAGGCATTTTTGGTTTAGTTTTTCAGACAAGTGCATCCAGAATTTCATTTGAATTTTTTTATTTTTTTTTGTTTTTAGTAAATTGGTGTCATGCAAATACATACTAAAAGCAGCTCCAAAGTCCTCTAAAAAGCAATGCTCTGGCAAATTGAACATACACTATATATACACAAAGTTTTATAAACAATAAAATAATAACTTGACTTCTAGTTGATGATTTGGTATCAGAAGTGGCTTATATGAAAGGCAAAGGCCTCTTAATTACACTTATTTTACCAAAATAAAATATATGATCATGCCTTGATTTTTAATCATTTAATTAGGACGGTAAGGTCTAACTTTGCTTAGATAAAAGTCTTGTCACTTGACAGAAATAATGTACAGTATAGAATATAAAGTCATGGTGCAGTGGAAAAAGAATGAATATTGTGTATGACTCCCATGAGCTTGGAGGACTGCATCCATACATCTCTGTAATGACTCAAATAACTTATTAATAAAGTCATCTGGAATGGCAAAGAAAGCGGACTCCCAGGGTTCATCAAGATTCTTTGGATTCATCTACAATGCCTTCTCCTTCATCTTACCCCAGACATGCTCAATAATGTTCATTCCTGGGAACTGGGCTGGCCATTCCTGGAGCACTTAGACTTTGCACTTTGCTTTCAGGAACTTTGATGTGGAGGCTGAAGTATGAGGAGCACTTAATTGCTGAAGAATTTGTGATGTACCTCTCCTGTGGTTTGTAATGTAATGGGCAGCACAAATGTCTTGATACCTCAGGCTGTTGATGCCATCCACTCCGCAGATCTCTTGCCAGCCTCATACTGATTGTAACCCCAAAACATGATTTTTCTGTCACAAAATTTCTGAGAATCTTGGGTCCATGCGGGTTTCAATGGGTGTTCTGCAGTATTTGTGATGATTGGGATGCAGTTCCACAGATTATTCATCTTCAAAAAGTCTACCAAAGTCGGCCACTTTTCTAAATGAACAACTAGAAGTCAAGTTATTATTTGTTGCCTGACTTTTGTCAGGTAGTGTATTTTATCTATCTTTTTACAAAGCAATTACACGGCTAATGTGGCACAGGAATGCCTCTGAAGTGACAGTTATCTGTCTTTACACAGACTATTCATTGTTGCTTAGATGTGGCATAAATTCATTTAAACAACTATTTTAACTGGATTTTGTAATACTAAGAATATTTTTTAGAATAGCTTTTTACAGGGTGTCTGCCAAGTCTTAAATGTCTTAAATTTAAAAAAAAAAAAAAAAATTTTAGCCCTTGAAAAGTCTTAAAATCACTTAAATATTGTGTTGTAGGTCTAAAATCATGTTAAACAGGTCTTAATTATCCTGTCCAAGTAAAGCTACCCAATCCCCAAAACTTTTTGTGAAGTTTCACAGAGTAATTTCGAGAGGAGCTCGTGATATAATTGACTGCAGCTGGCCACTAATCTACACCCATTAGCTAGCCAATCAGATTGATCCAAACTCGCTATAAGTGGCCTAGTTAGAACTAATCCCTTATCTTTGTTTTTTCGAAGAACCACCTGATCTCGTGCTCCCCTCACATGCTCTATGGACCAGGCGGGAGCCCTGGGCTCAACTATCTCCGAGCTCAGGGTTCTCTCCCGAGACAGCATGCCAAACCTGCTAACTTGCTGACAGTTGTCAAACAATATCTAAGTGTGAACTCTTGAAATATTTGTTTTTATTGCAAAGAGATACAATTCACAACAGCTGTTAGAGATGTTTACAGCAAATTGTCCTAATTAAATTCCCTAAGCAGGGAAAGAAAACAAAGGCAACACATCTCTTTATATGTTCTTCCATTAATACAAAAAATTTACTGATCTAACTGGGCATTAGAAACAATCCTTAGTGTATAACCCTGTGTAAGTCTAAAATTTCATTCAAAATGGTCTTAAAAGGGTCTCATAAAATTGTAAATTTGACTTAAAGAAACCTGCAGAAACCCTGTTTTTAGCGCTTTTCACCTGAGTAAAGAAACAGCAGCCTTAAGTTGTTTGAAAATGCCTGTTGATACATTCTTTAATATGTCATTATTAACTTACTTAATCAGTTCAGTTGTGTATATAAACTGCAAAGAATATTTTGCAATATTTAGCTGGGATGTATACATGGCCTGTAATATGTCAAATTTACTCAAGAGACAGATGTGGAGTGTTTTACGCAGCATTTTGGCAGCACTTATAAAAAATGAATTCTGGAGAAAATGCCTCTGGGAACAGCTGTAAAATGATGGATTAAAATACATTTAGCCTGATAAGTGCAACTGCATTTTAAAGAGATAGAGAGAGGGGGGTAAAGGTTGTGGAGAATCTTGTAACCTGATTCCATTGGTATAAATGTCAACATTTGTGAAGTGATCTTCCTACTATGCCGTTCATTAAAATGTCAGTTAGACTTGGAGAAATCCCCTTCAAATGTTATCATTTTATCTACCCATGTCCTTAACCTGCAGGCTCAGTTGTCTCACAAGTTAACACCTTCCTTAATGATGTTTAAACAAGGGTCTGCTTTGCACAAACCCTAACATGAAATCTGCTTTTCTAGAGCTTCTGTATATGACATATCCTTGTCAAACGGGTATGGCAATAAAGCAAACGTGCATCTGTGCAAGTGTGTGCGATTTTATCTGTGATCTTGGGGGTTGTGTGTATGGTACAGGGGTATGACTGATGTATTTATATTACTCTTAAACACATTCTTGCCACAAAACGGTTTGCACTAGTAACAATCGCAGTGTTTCGTGAGCATGCAAGAAGACTGCACTGAAGTTCAACAGCATGATTTAACATGTTATCATGCCTAACATGTTTTAGCATACCAAATAGCACATGTAAGTCTGCGAGGTGTATTTTAAAATACACAGCACCTTATCTACAAAGCATCTGCTGTGTAGAAAAGGTTAATAAATGTGTTTTACATACATTCTAAATCTGGGGTCACCAATGTCGGTCCTGGAGGGCCGGTGTCCCTGCAGAGTTTAGCTCCAACTTGCCTCAACACACCTGCCTGGAAGTTTTAGTTATCCCTTGATTAGCATGTTCAGGTGTGTTTGGTTAGGGTTAGCGCTGAACTCGGCAGGACACTAGCCCTCCAGGAACAAGTTTGATGTTCTAAATCGTAAACGTCTCAAATGACATTCATCTGCTAAAAAAGCAATGAAAACATTAACAAAGTGGCATTTCAACAATTTACATATGTATCATGTTGCTAACATCAGCTTAAAAATTTCTTAATTTAAAATGTTTCTTACGCATGTCAACATAACTATCAAGCTAGCTAGCATGGTTTTTGCATATGTTAGCATATGGCTAGCATGTTTAACACATCATTTAAAATATGAATACACTCATAGCCACTTTATTAGGTACACCTGTTCAACTGCTTGTTAATGCAAAATTCTAATTTAGCAATCACATGGCAGCAACTTAATGCATTTATGCATGTAGACATGGTCAAGACGATCTGCTGCAGTTTAAACTGAGCATTAGAATGGGGAAGAAAGGTGATTTAAGTGATTTTGAACGTGGCATGGTTATTGGTGCCAGACGGGCTGATCTGAGTATTTCAGAAACTGCTGATCTACTGGGATTTTTACACACAACCATCTCTAAGGTCTAAAGAGAATGGTCCTAAAAAGAGAAAACATCTACTGAGCGGCAGTTCTGTGGGAGCAAATGCCTTATTGATGCCAGAGGTCAGAGGAGAATGGCCAGAATAGTTCAAGCTGATAGAAAGGCAACAGTAACTCAACCTCTCATTACAACCGAGTTATGCAGAAGAGCATCTGTAAACGCACAACTCATCAAACCTTGAGGCAGATGGGCTACAGCAGCAGGAAACCACACCGAGTGCTTCTCTTGTCAGCTAAGAACAGAAAACTGAGGCTACAATTGGCACAGGCTTTAACAAATTTGGACAATAGAAGATTGCCTGGTCTGATGAGTCTTAATTTATGCTGTTTCATTCAGATGATTAGAATTTGGCGTCAATAACATGAGAGCATGGATTCATCCTGCCTTAAATCAACGGTTCAGGCTGGTGCTGGTGGTGTAATGCTGTGAGGGATATTTTCTTGACACACCTTAGGCCTATTAGTACCAATTGAGCATTGTCAACGCCACAGCCTACCTGAGTATTGCTGCTGACCATGTCCATTACTTTATGATCACAGTGGACCCATCTTCTGATGACTACTTCCAGCAGGATAGCGCGTCATGTCATAAAGTGCGAGTCAACTCAGACTGGTTTCTTGAACATGAGTTTCTGTACTCAAATGGCCCCCACAGTCACCAGAGCTCGATCCAATAGAGCACCTTTGGGATGTGGTGGAACGGGAGATTCACATCATGGATGTGCAGCTAACAAATCTGCAGCAACTGCGTGATGCCATCATCTCAATATGGACCAAAATCTCTGAGGAATATGTCCAGTACCTTGTTGAATCTATGCCATGCCATGCCATGTTCAGAAAGCAAAAGCGGGTCGAACCCGGTACTAGTAAGGTGTACCTAATAAAGTGGCCTTGATTGTATGTTAATGTCAGCATTTCTTTGA